CCCAGGAGCTGCTAATACAGTTGTACAGAGGAATCATTGAGTCTGTTCTCTGCACCCCCATCACTGTCTGGTTTGTCTCAGCAAAGCCCTACAACAAGTACAGACTTCAGCGGACAGTCAGGTCTGCAGAAAAGATCATCGGTGCCACCTTGCCCTCCATGGAGGACCTGTACACCTCACAGGTCAAAAGGAGGGTGGAGAAGATTTCTCACACCCTGGACACAATGTGTTTGAACTCCACCCCTCTGGACGGCGTTACAGGTCACTGTGCACCAAGACAACCAGGCACAAGGACAGTCTCTTCCCCCCAGCCGTCACTCTGATGAACACTTGACCCACGAGAGTATGTCTGGTCAATAACCCTCAGTGCAATACCTGTAAATATGCATTGTACATATAGATTCGGTGAATCCAGACTGTGCGTATATACAGTATATATACATATATGTAGAGGTCTCTATTTATAAGACCTTTACTCTTATTTTTTATCTCTTTTCCTATTGCACATTCCTTTTGCTTGTTGACATGTACATACACATTGAGAACCGCTGTACCAGAGTCAAATTCCTCGTGTGTCCAACACACCTGGCCAATAAAGCTGATTCTGATTCTGATCATTAGAATTTAAATGACTTTCTGCACACTGTTACATGAGACTACAATCTGCAAGGAAAGATGTGAAGTAGGACTACTGGAACAGTGTGGTATACAAAAATAAACAAAGGAGGCATTTTCACACTAGGAAATTAGGTAGTTTATGTGAGGTGAGAAGATTCTTGATGGCACAGTGAGGGAAGAAGACAAGGGAAGCTATAGGGAGGGTGGGGGTAAACTAAGGCTCATTGTTAGGCAGGTGATTTACAAGGGTACACAGGCTCCCGGGCCCTGCCAGTGGAAGGATAGATCTTCTGTCACCATAGCACCCTCACTCCATTGTAACCAGACAGGGCTGGGGGGCCTGTAGGGATGAAAATGGGTGGAGGGCAGCAGAAGCAATTGTTGGTTGAGTACTGTGGTGCCATCACAGGACCGGGGCCTGTATATCTTCACCACAGACAGCAGCCACAGATCAAAGGCTGCACTGTTCTCTCTCTCTAAAGCTCACAAGCCTTTGAAAACTTCCCACAACATTTGCACAAGGGGATGACATGCCTCTGCAATTGCAGAAAACGACTGAATATACAATCTGAATACCAAACACCAACATTTTATTGTGACCACAGTCTTTGAAATGATCTCGAGTTTCCTTTTCACGCAGGTCGAGTGATTGCATGCACTAGGAGATGGGATCTGTGCATATGCTGGGCAGCAGTCATGGGTAGACAAATTAGGCATCTGGTGCTATATAAAACGAGGTCACCTTCATCCTTAGCTCCAGACAGACATGGTCATCTGAGAGCTGTCTGCTGTCTTCTCCCATACAGATCTGTCACTGACCTTTCAGAGCCTTGGTGATAAAGCCCCTTCAGGCAAAAATCAATTACCACAAGCAAACGTAATATCAAATGAAGAAGGGGTGTCATTGTAGCATGTGAACGGTCACATGTTGGGGCTGTTGATGAATGCGGATTCGGTCTGGTTCACTGAGTCGCTACAAATAATTTCATCTGGAAAGCTAATGGAGTGTCGGACAGCAATGTTCCGATGTTAATCACAGGATACCACAGCATACACACTCTAATTCTCTTCCTTGGCACAATACATAAAGTGTTACAGTGAAGTGAACATAGATCAAAATTCAATTAGTAAGGTCTCAGAAATGAGGCCAGTGCTGTTTACAAGAACATGTCTGACATTCATTGTTTTAATACAATGACGATGACTTCATATTTTGCTCTGCCTTTTTATATCCTGTGTTAACATCATCCAGGGCCCAAAAACACATAAAATAAAAATAAATAAAATATTTGGAACACGTTTTGCCATAAAATCAGCCATGTGTACTAGGGCAGACAGAAAAAAAAAACAGTAAGCTGTCTGCTTTCACATTTTCTCTATAGTTCAACAAGAGGGAGTCTACAGCCACTGCAGCAGATCTCATGCTTTTGGAAGCCATGAATGTCTATTCAACATTTTGTGCTAATCCATCTGATAGATATCAAAGTATTTCTTGGAATAGCGAAAATGTTGATTTGTTAATGTTGCTGTATGAAAAATCAAACCAAAGTCTTTAGGGTTTATCCACTGGGCACCATGGATCCCTGTACTTCCTGACAATCACTAACGAACGCACATGAAAACCTGTGGTGGTGCTAAGGGAAAGATTAAGGCATCATCAGAGTCAGGAAATGACATCCTCTTGGGACCATAAATGTGTACATCAAACTTCATAGCAATCAATCAAATAGTTGTTGAATTGACTGACCAACCAACGCTGAGCCACAATGTTAAGTGGCTAAAACCTCTTTCCTGTTATGCACAATATTTATCTTCACACGAAGATTAGCCAAAAGATTTGCCACTGCACTCATCATTTAGAAAGGCTACAATTCTTAGACTCTAAATTTGAGAAGGAAGTGAATACTGCATTTCCACATAACACTGTCAACCATCACTGTGTGATTTAATTGAATCATTTGGCTGCTGCCCAAGAATGTGCCTCACTCCACATCCATGCTGTACTAGACTGAAGAGCATGCTGTGTTGAAACCAACAAACTGGGCTTGGCAGCTTGATGAATAATCTCAGCAGTGCTGAGCATCTCAGTACGCCGTTTGAAGTGGCCAGTTATACGATTCTGTCCCGGTGTGCATGATGTAACCCCCGCCAATCTCTATGAACTGGCTCTGCTCTCTCCAGTACACCTGTGTTAAAACGCCAGCAAGACTGATCCAAATGTCAAAGGCAGATAAAAGTGTTTGCAACTCACTGAAGGTTAGGACCAACCTGTTTCAATCAGTGGCTTATCACTCTAATTAGGCAACTACCATCTGATTTCTGACTCTAACATTTAAATAATGTTGGGCCTCACATTGTCTGGTGCTGGGATTTTGAATTTGAAGCTTCAGTTACTGATCCGTGCCCCATTTTAATCCATCATGCAGCCTAGGGATTAAACTGAATAAAGAAGAGATGGAAAGAAAGAGAACAACCTGATGCATTCCTCATCGCTCACACCACCTTATTATACAAATGGAGTGTGTCTCAAAGTACAGTTCACACACAAGCACACTCACTTACACACAGCATAGCACAGCACCTTCTGGCTCAAGACTGAGCACCTGTGCTGCCAAGCACCTAGGTGCTGTTTTCCCTAGAGCCGACACTGATCAAGCACCCCACCCCCACCCCCGATTACTTCTACATCCAATTTGCTCTGGCATTTATAGTTGTTTATGATAATGCATGGCAACCGAATGACATTTAGAAGTGATGCAAATGGAGCGTGGTTTAGTGAGTGATACCCTGAGGAAGCTAGTTGACCCCCTCAGTGTGCAAACCTGTGAATGTGATCTATGAGCTACAGTGTGAGAAAGCAGGTTAATTCTGTGCTTGTCATGTTAAGCAATGTCCAGTAAATCACTGAACAGTTTATGAGGAGGGTCACACTCTGTCTCTCTCATTTTCTCTCTCTCACACTCACACATTTGTTTTTATCCCTCATGGGGACTTTACGCTGATTATATGCATATCATTGAGAATTACACTAACCTTAACCATAACCACTACTTGCCTTACCCTAACCCTTACCCCACCCTTAACCTAAACCTGACCTTAGCCTAACATTAAAACAAGTTGTTAAAATAAATTTCAATGACCAGCATTTGGTCACCATGGCAAGTTCCCACAGGGTGGCTGTGTAAACAGGTTTTGGTCCCCACATTATGACATGAACAAAGAAAAAAATAGAGTACCAGACCCTGTGGTGAGTAAGGAAATGACAAGTTTACTTTACTGTGCTATACGTTTCCTGTATTCTCAACATTATCCCTTCAAAAAGCCAGCAACTCTTTAAAAATGAGCACTGACACTGACTACTAGGAAAATGTGATAGCAGGCAGATACAACCTAAGGCAAAAATACAGAAACACATTCCACTTCTGCAAGTCCTGCTGTATCAGTAATACATGAGACTGCCTCCTTTATGTGATTAAAGGTGATGTATCTAAATGCTACAGGTGCTGCATTGCTAAACCGTGCTTTCAAATTCTAGTCAGTAAAACATGTGTAAAGTCTAAAAGGGATTCTTTAAACAAGTTGTCATACCGGAGGGTAAGAAGAGGAGAAAGTGTTATGAGAATATGTAGCACAGAATCACATGCATCAGTCAGCTCTTCAAAGGCTGAAAATAACCCAAATAATAAGACATTATGTAGACTGACCTTGGGAGTTATTAACAGAGGAAGCTTTAACTGTAACATTTTTCCTCAGCAGCTAACAGGCTGAAGTGTATAAATCAATGGGCAGTTGTGACTGCTAACATTTTTAGAGGATTACAGCTGTCTCATTTCTACATCTTATATTTCCTCCTCCTGTAGAGTCAGCCAGCACTGACAGGATCCCTGGCCAGGACTCTAATGTCCCCCAGACACTGGCCAGAGCCTGGCGAAAGGCCACATCCAATGAGCTGCACCATTAGACAATATCAAAAACCAGCGGGTGAAAGGCAATGGGATTGGACGGCAAGCAATGCTGTAGAAGGAGGGCGGCAATGTAAGACACAATGTGTGGTTAAATCTCATCACGTCGCTTTTAAAGATAACTAACCACAGAACAGATAATTGCACACCATCCAGGGCAGTGAGTTCTGAGAATGGGAACAAGTGTTCCGAATATAGAGATACTACTGAATTCTACCAGTGATGAAAAGCAATGACCATGAGCAAACATGACGATGGAATGGACTCGCTCAGATGGAAGGATGGAGCAGGAGAGGCAAATGCCGCTTTAGAGAGGTGGGAAAAGAGGCACACACAGAACAGTGTAAGTTGGTGGTTAAAAAAAACAGTGGGGTGAGACAAGGAAAGGCAGGGGTTGGCCAGCATGCTGGCATCATTTACCTGTATTACCACCTGCTGCCATGCTAGCGGTTGGCTGGTAGGGGGGGTGGGAGGCAGGTTGGCACGCTCTAGCTGCAAGGTGACGTTGCGACGCTCCTCCTCAAGGGCTCGGGTCAGCTGCTCAAAACGCGCCTCCTGCTCTTTCACTGAGGCCAGGATGCTGGCAGCTGAACGGACATCATAGTCCTCCATGTCCAGTGTGGTTCACAGTTGTACAGATCTTCCAAGTTGGGAAGTGAGGGAAGAGAACAGGGAGGAGGTGGCACCAGGTCATTAAAGAGACCCATACCCAACACTCTGACGAGTGGCATCAACATGCTGATGCATGCCTCAAGTTCAAAGTCAAATACAAGACTTAATTATAGGCCAAGATGGGACACTGATCATTTGGCAAACAGCACAGGCTTAAAATGATCATCATGAAAGACCAACATGACACATGAAAATAAAGCAACTAGAATAACTGACTGGAGATGTAAGGTCATGGTGCAGAGAGTCTATATGTTTGAGTCCAATTTATTTAATTTAGACTGCTGCTTCTTGAGCCATAGTCTGAAGAGACAAACAAATTCTTCACACAGAGGGTGACTGCATGGGGAGGTCTATGATATTATAAGCCCAGCATAGCAAAGACTGTAAGGAGGATGCTTTGCTGGGTGTCAGTTAGAAGTTTGCCTTCAGAAGTTAGCAATTTTCTTGTAATTAAGACAATCCTGGCCCCACAGATACAATTTCATACAGTTTTGCTGGAATCTTGGTGCAGAAAAAATGAAAAGCAAAAGTACAACACATGGAATGAAACAGCACAGTGCACACTCAAACACAAAGAATCTTGTTTCTGGACAGCCAAAAGGTGAAAAGGAATGATTGCATCCCTGTGAATGAACAATCATAGCCAGCATGGAGGAATGGCGCTGTCACTAGATACAGTCATGCACAGAGCCATAATGCATTCTGGCGCACAAGAAGTGCTGCAGGCACAAATCCAACACATGCAAGCTTCCCACAGCCACCCATAGGGACACTCAGGCCTGGTGCCGCACACACACTGACTATCATAAACAATCATCATTTCCAGATAACATTTGCAAGCTCCAGTGCATATCACTGTCACACACACTCTGATATCCATAACTGATGGTGGCCTGATATCAAGGGGGTCACTGCACAATAACAAATGGGGTTGATAATACCAGTTCACTGTAATACAGACCTAGTAGATAAGCAGGGCGAGAGATGTTAGAAAACAGACATCCCCCACTCTACCAGAAGCAGAGGGATGAGACAACAAGAAGAACGGAGAGCTGGGGGAAAAGGGACAGAAAAACAAAGGGAAGACAAAAGAGAAAATGTCAGAGGTTAAAACAGAAATGAAAAGCAACAAGCAGTATGATTCTCATGACTGGGTTGTATGAAACCAAATTCTACTGAAATAGGTGCAAAAGTATTTGAAAATTAGCCCAGAATCATCTGCACATTTCAATATACTGTAAACCATACAATCTTGTTTAGCAGGGGCCCACAGATAAGTTTTGTCTCAGGGCCCAAGAGGAGGTTAATCTGGCCTTGTCTCCTTAACAACACATCTCGTCTTTACACCATTTTACAATTAACACTCTCGGACTCACACTTGTCTGTGGATGTGACATAGCATTCTAGCCATGGACTGGACTGTTCAATGAGAGAGTGAAAGACATGTCTGTCAAGCAATCAGCTGAAGAAAAATCACACAAGGCAGAAGCCAACGAGTCATCAAAAAACAAAGTGACACTGTGGTGAGATGAATCCTTGTGCGCAAGATGTCTTAGATATTGTGATTCGGAGTTGCTGCTTTTAAATAGAAATGTAAGGTAAGTGCTTATTTACAGTAGGTACCAGAAGGTTAAACAGGAAGGCACTTTACAAACACCTAGAAGTGACACTGAGTCAGGAGGAGTGTTATATCAAAGCATTTTGGGCATTTTGTATCTGGTCTTCCCAGCTTTGTACACAAAGATGGAGGAGGGGTGGTTTTGCTCAGCAGGGGCTGATAAATGCAGATGCAGCCATTAAAATCTCAAACAGGCTGGATTACAGAAGCAGAGTGTGTGTGTCTATGTGTATACGCCCACACAAACAACATTCATTCTTCACTACAGGGCCTGGTGAGTGTGATGCCCTTATTCCCTTTGAAGCATACAACCCCTCTTTGATGTTTGTTGCTGATCATTTATTTATCTGCAGTGGAGCATCATCTGACATGACTCTTCCTTTTACTGTACACCAAGGAGTCTGTTTCCAAAGTGAAACTCCGCATCCATGTGAATGAAAGAAAATATTGTTTTTGTTTCTTTCCTCCTACATGGAAACATTATCTCTGATCGCTTAGCCAGTTTTCTAATTTTTAACTCATTAATCTACCATTTTGAAACATTGTTCTCACTAAAATATTTGCTGCTGGCAATGAGTTGAGAGTCAGCTGCAATATGAACAGCTGCTCTTCATATCATCAGTTGCTAATTTAGTTCAAAATGGAAACAGTGCTGGATAATGACTACTTGCAAATATAGCATCCATGTCTATTTTTAAAGATATCTACTATTTGAGATAACTGGGCAGCATAAGCCATGTTGATTGCACATACTTGATGATGGGCTCTAAGGACTCACACCCCCAGAGGGTTGGGGGCAAGGTAGCCATTGCTTCCTGAGTCATAACGGGACTAATATGGCAGGCATGTCAGCTATGCCCCACAGCTTATCATGAAACACCAACCTCTGGTCCTACTTAAAATAGCTCAGAATGCACAGGGAGGAGCATATGAAAAACTACCCCTGCCACCATGGCAGTCCTGTTTTTTTAAAGCTTTGGTTTGACAGATGTTTGGCCTGGGTCAGAGGGGATAAAGGCACAGCCAAGGTCTACACGTTTTACCCCATCCTCAATTACACATGCTCTAGTAAGCCTTAACTTTATGTGGTGGAAACCTATCAATGTACAACTTTAAGGGCAGCAGTGTCATTTGTGAATGCCACCACTGAAAGTGAATGCATGGAGAGGGTGATAACTAATCAAAGAGATGATATTTAAAAAAAAACATGGAAATGTTTAATTAATTCCACAGAGGGAAGTGGGTTAGATTTGACTACTCTTGAGGCGTAAGCATCTTTAATTAAAAGGAAAAGCAGGCTCATGTGTAGAGGTGATTTGATGCAGCACCTCACTACATAGTTCACTTCTGCTGTTGCAAAGCCTTCCTTCAAGGATAAATGCATTTTAGTACAAACCCTCAGCTCTAAAAATAGCCCAGTAATAAATATATCCACATGCACATGGCCACAATGTAAGTGTACATCAGCAGATGAGATGGAGCAGTTGCTCACTTCAAAGGCTGGCTGGAAAATCGGATAATAAATCCTCGGCACCTTATTCATCAGGTCCATTGGACTCCTATAAAACAAATCTTCCGATGACAAGACCCTCTGCCATCATTCCCCACTGTGTAGTAAAGTGTCAAGCGTTTACCTGATGGCATTCTCAAAAACAGGTTTAAATGAGCAAGCCACTAGAGGTTTGGTAATCTGACTATATGACACTGCAACTAAATCACAAAAATAAGGCTGTAAGGGAGAATAACAGTCTATCCAGCGGAAGTGAAACCTTGGCGATTTCCCATTGGCAAGATGAAATTCTTTTGTGTATATGGAAATGTTTTGGATGTGAGCAACATGCACAACCTCTGGATGGAGCAAGGTGGAATGACAACTTTTGATCTATTGCCTGGGTTGTTCCTATGGTATCCTCTGGTGCAAAGCATGACTAACTGGGCCAGCTGGTTTGAGTGTGCAGTCAACTGACATTGTACAACAGGATTTTCTGCTGATGTTTTATTCTAGCAGTTTCCTCTCACTATCATTTGAAAGCACCAAAGTGGAAAGTTGCAGCCACCCTGCATCTGTAAAGAGAACCTATCATTCCACTGAGGAGCTGATGTTAAACCCTTCACACTTTGCAGCCTGTGGGTGAATTTAAGAAGTCAAAAGAGGCAATACTTTGTGAAGAAAGCAATACTGTACATCTCAATATTCAGATACTATAGTTCAACATTTTGGGAAATACACTATTTTGCTGTCTTGCCAAAAATTAGACCACTCCCATTTCTATATGCTAAATATGAATCTATTGCCAGCAGTTGGTTAACTTGCTTAGCAATGCTTAAACAACTAACCTGGCTCTGTCTGAAGGCAACAACATTCACCAACCAGCACATCTACAGCTCATTAATTAACATGCTGCCTCTTGTTTGTTTAATTCATATAAAAGCAAAGTGTAAAAACAACTATTTGTGGCTTTTAAGGGAGTGGGGGTGACACAGTGACTTCAGATTATACAAATGAGATATAAAGTGCTAATTTATTTTCTGAGGTGTTGGCAGGCACCTTCTGATGGAGCTAAGACAGCTGTTATGTTCTTTTAACAGTCCTTATGGTAAGCTAATTAGCTTCCTAGATAGATAATCAACTTTCTCATCTAATTCTCTGCAAGAAAGAAAATTACCATATTTCACAAAATATCCAACTACTGCGTTAACGTTTTTCCAGATATTCAACAAAAGACAAATGAGATCTGTAGGTACTGAGAAGGCTGTCTGGAGCCAAAGCAACGTGTGGCATGTGTCTTGAGGGGGTTGGACTGGGGGTTATTAGGTGGATGTGGGAACAGACTGGGAGGTGAAGGATGAGGATAATTGAGTGTGACCATCAGTGTTACAGATCGTCTCAGAAACATTCACCTGATTAGGAACTAGGCGAGTGGTGGGGTCCTTCCTCCCAACTCACCACTAATTCACCCCTTTCCCCCAGCTGTAATTGCATCTTAAATTAATTCCTTTATGAGGATCCAGCTCTCAGTGGCACAACTGAGTACATAAAGACACCTGCTACTCCTATTGTGTATTTGCATGTGTGTGTCCAGATGTGTGTCATCAATCTACAAGCATTTTCTCTTGATGATAAAGCATTCATATGATAAAAAGACAAATTGGCAACATTAAGGAGCATTACTTTACCTTAAATCATCATTTCAGAGTCACTAATTTCAGACTCCAATAAGAAATTTTGTCCTTGGCTAAGCTGTCCAATATGTCAAAGCTCTTGTAGAGAGTGACTGACAATAAAACGATTCATCATAATCGCATTTTGATGTGCTGGGAATGTGCTCAACAACAGAAAGGTTTTATGACTTTTGTGACTCTTTAAAAGTGCTACTCAGAAACATCAAATTCAGCTTGAATTAGTCCTGCTCATTTAAAAAAAACAAACAAAGCTTTTATTCAGCACTGGATGACAGACATGACAATAGAACATATTGTCATAAGTGCCAAAATAAATAAATAAATAAATATAGCAGGCAAAGCCAAGGCTTCAACTATCTGTGGAATTATGTCACATGATTCATTAATCAGTTAACTCTGTGTGTGTGTGTGTGTGTTTTGTTTGTTTTTTAATAAAACAAAGCACAATGCACTAATGCAGCAGGTTAACAGATAATGAAAGGTTACTGGAAGATGAATGTCATTACTAATATCAACCATAATTACTCCTAAATAACTTATTAACTTATATTAACTTTATTTATTAATACTAATCTAATATTATGTATACATTTTAAGTACCACTTGACTAATATAGGAGGTGATTAGCATAAAAAAATGATGAAGAACATTAAAAAAATGCACTCCTCAAGGTTTTTTCTCCCTGGTTAAATAAATGTTAAATAAATAAATATTTAGGATTCTAGTCACTGCTGTATTGAGGAACATTAAAGTGAGTGTTAATGCCTAGACAGATATTGCTGAGAGCTGCTAGGAAAAGCCCAGCTTAGCATGGTGTGTTGAGTCCATAGCTCAGCACTTTCACAGCTCCAAGAAATGACGTGTTGTTTACCTCCAGTTTTAATTTACCCTTTTTCTTTGAACCGCCTTGCCATGTGGAGGCTTTGTAGGCTGGTGAACACACAAACACACACACACACACACACACACACACACACAAAATTACATGCACCAAATACAAAAGAATATGTCTTTGTTTGTGACTTTGAAAAGACTGAGCGGTACATTAAGGCTTATAGATACAGATGCTCATATTACCTTTCACAAAAGAAACATGCTATTTATTACTACTGTATAAATGGGATGTACAACACCCCTAAAAATGCAATTTTAAAATATAACACTGCATTGCATTCATAGATTTTACTCTAATTCTTGAACTGGTGCAGTACTATATAATAAGTCTCAATTCCTACTTCAGAGCAGCCAACATTAAGGAGGTCAACGTTCAGAGTAGAGTCTAGATACTTAAGTGCTAATTTGCAAGGCCAAGCAAAATTACTTAAGAAGCAAAGCAAAGGTTACTCTGAACATGGTAAAAGCAATCCACAAATGTTTGATAGACAGGAACATCAGTCAGCATTTGAAATAGCACTAATATACACTGTGTCCTACTTCTTAAAGGGCACAACAGAGTGTCTTCAAATTTTTAAAGCAAATGCATGAAAAATGAGCAGTTCTTTCACATATGACAAAATGTAATTAAGTAGCAAGGATAATTAAGGTCTTCAAACACTCAGCTACACAGTTGAGGTTGTCTTTATAAACTGGACCAGAACAAACATCCTCTCCTGTTCAGTTCTAAAACACACAAAAATCCGTGATGAGAACTACAACCACTGTTCAAATGATATTTAGTTCAGCTGATTCAGCTGTGTGAATTACTGAAATCACAACACATTTCTTGGAGGAAAGAAGAACCTGAATGCATTGACACAAAAAATCAAACAAGTGAAGCTCCCTTGAAGAGCAATAACAGAGAAAGCAAAATCATAGATTTGCCAAACCAAAATACCTGTCAGGAAATGTAATTAGTGCAATGAAGAGCTGATCAAAGTGACTAACGGAGAGTGGAGGTGTAGACAGAGAGGTGGGGTCTACCTTTGATGTTGTTGAGTGCCGTTAGACCAGAAGTAGACTGAGGACAGGTGTAACTCTGTTAGAGTCAACTTGTGTGTTCAGTCTGCCAGGGGAGATCTGTGGATGAAAGACAATGACATAGAACATAATTAACAGGCTAACAGTGCATTGCAAATATGGTGCTCTTATGTAATGTAGACACATATACATTTCAGTCACAATGGGTTCAAAACTGTCATCAGATAGCACTCTATTCTCAACCACAGGAGCACTCTCAATAGCTTCTTGGTAATGGGTTATACTCCATATCTCACTTGTGGTCTTCCACAAGGCATTGTTTTAGGCCCACTACTGTTTTCTATTCATACACCAAAACATTAATTTTAACACAGACAACACCAAGATACAAAATGTGTACACCTGGTGATAAGAGCAGTGTTAACACTCTAATCAACCTCCTTGACAAGATTAAGGGTTTGATGTGCATGCATTGATGTACATGGTAGTCAACTCTGACCTCTGTTTTGATGCTCAAAAAGAAGTCAAGAAGAGTTTCTTAACATATTCTGTCCTGTGCTGGTCTGAGTAAGTTGACAGTGCTTTGATTTATTTCCAGCCTGGACTACTGTTACTCAATGTATTCATGTTTAAGTGAGAGTTCTCTGTCTTGATCAAAGCTGCAAAATGCAGCAAGAACTTTAGCAAATGGCAGTAACCAAATCACATAACTCACATCACCCATAACTCAACCATCCTTCACTGCCACTTTTTTTTATAGTTGATTTCAAAATGTTACTGATAATGTTCAAGGCTAAATTAGGCAGATACTTTTGTTTCAACCTTTAAGTTCCTATGTAAGATATACAGTATCTCTTCAGACATTTTCATGTGGCTGTAAATACAAGCTGTGCCAACACCCAACAAACAACAACAAAACATCTGATCAATATTTCAGCAGACACTCCAAGGAAACCCAGAAATATGCAATTATATGAAAGAAATATTACAAATGCTATCACTGTTACATTAATAATAATAATTCCAGGGCATGAACTTCAAACAAAGAGCTAGTCTACCAGTCAATTCTTCACTAAATATGTTAGGTGGCATGTTTTCTGGCCAATATCGAATTCTTAATAATGAGGCAACACTTGCTCGATACTTTCAACAAACCAATATGTCATCCTGACTGTAGTATTCATAAATATAAACATCATAGGCACAAAAAGACCAGTGTCCAGTACTGCAGTGCAAATTGGACTGGTGTTTGATACCATGGGACAAATCATTCTGCAGTACACACCAACCTGTCCAGAGGCTCTGCTGCTTTTGATGGCCAAAAAAACAAAAGCCACTGGATCGACTGCACCTTTGAAGATGTCACTGATGATGAAATCAAACATGCCCTTACACATGTTGGCCAACTTTCATTTTAAGACTATTGGTTTAATGGGATGTAATGGTCTCTAAAAATTGCCTCATACTTTAAGGAGCTTGTCACCCGTGGAATATTTATTTTAAAAAAGACAGCAACATACAATTCTCAAATTGAGTTCATCAGCAGTTCATCTGAAATATTAGCACTTTTGCATAAATGCAACTGGGGTTCACATTGAATCGTGCTAATACTATCAGTTAAGAGCAAAAGTTACATTACATGTCTATGAAACATATTAATGTGAAAGAACAAAAATGGTTTTTGAAGCAACATCATTATTTTCATTTGCAATTTAAGGGTTAATTTTTATACAATTTTAGACATATTTTTCTTTACAGATCCTTGTGAAAATATTGAGAAGCAAAGTGACCTTTCATGAGTTTAAACTACGTGATTTTATGCTTAAAATCAGAAATATGAAATATTGATTTAACTTTTAAAGTACAGGCTCTTCTCTGAATAATGAGCATTTTCCGATGCAGCTCAGACTTGAAGTTGATTGAGCAGTGAAGCCATGCAATATTTCATGAACTATGATCAGAAGACACCCACAGAGAGTAAAAAGAAAAATCAATACAATGTCAACTTTCCTCTGCAGGTTTTAGCTGGGTCTATGATTAGTATCTCTCTCTCTCTGTCTCACTCCAAGGACTCCTGGTTGTGTTGTCTTCAAGGACAAATAGGCTGTGAACACCTTGGATTTCAAACATCAAAGGTGAAATTAAGCCCGGCTGCACTAGATATCACTTCACCTGTCTCTGTCTCTGTCTCTGTCTCTGTCTCCAAATTCTATGAGACCTTAGATCAGTCCTGAATGGAGATTATCTTGACACAGCTCACAGTAGCACTACTTTAATCAATACACATTTTGTGCTACTTAGCATGATGAAATGTAAGTAACTATTTCATTTAGAATGAGAAAATTGATTGGTCATTGATGATAAATGAATAATGCTCCCAGTTAACCTCCCAGCTGATCCCATGGAGCTGATCAGTGGTCAATAGTTGGAGATTGATTTTTGTAGTTAGCAGCTGAGGGTTATTGTGGCTAAAGGAGTGTTGGTAAACAGCCGCTTCTGACACTGTGCTGACAACACAGTACTCAAGTATTAGAGGTCATAATGCTTGAAACACCTGTATGGGTCAGATGTGAGGAGCAAATGAGGATAAGAAGACACTGTTGTAAAGAAGCTTGTATACTGAACAAAGCACTTCTCTGGGTTAACTAAGCTGTGGCCTCTAGTAGACAGGGTTTCATACTCCCAGTACATCCAATCAGATTTATTTACATAGCAGCCAGTCCAGACAGATGTTCTCAGCTCTGTGGAACATGTTGACAGTCTCCAGCGCAGTCCTGATGCAGCATTTG